CCCCCGCGGCCCGGCCGGGGAACCCGCCCCGCGCTTCCGGGAGGGGGAGGGGAGGAGCCGGCCGCCCTAGGCCGCACCCGCCGCCTCCTCAGGCCGCCTGCCCAGAGTGCCGGGTCTCCGCTTCCCGCGGTCGCTTGTGGGGCGCTGCGGGGAGCGGGCCTTGGGAGCCCCAGCTGCGTCGTGGGGCTGCGGCGAGCGCTCACAACTCCGCCACTGACACCTCCCCTCCCGCACGGGGTCCTCCCAGGCCAGGAAATGCACTCCGGGCGTCTCCTGAGGGGCCTAGCCTGGGGCCTGTTCCTAAAGACCAGGGCGGAGCTTCTTCGCTCTCTGGGCGAAGTTTCCAGCCTGGCGGAGGAGGAAACCCTAAGGGGAGAGAGGACGAACACGCTCGGTGTCTTGGCTACGGAACTCAGCCTCGCCTGGGCCGCCGGGGATGGAAACTTAGCTGGAAGAAAGGCTGGGCTTTGCACGACAAGGGAAAAGTGGGGTGCGGAGGGGCAAAGGGGAAGGGAAGACAATGGAAGGAAACCGCGTCTAGACTCTTACCCAGCCCTCCCCTCTCGCTGCACAGCGCCTAAAGCCACAGGCCCACTCCCAGCACCAGTTCTCCCCTGCGTTCTAAGCCACCTCCTCTTCTCCAATGGCAGGAAACAAGTGAGGATGGAGTGAATCCAGGAAGTACTTTATCTGCAAGTGGCAAATAGGAAGTGGTCTGCAAGTCATTCCGAAGGGCTGTTCCTCACGCTGTAGGGACCCTGACACCTCTTTGGTGTCGATGCATGGATGCCCATTTTGCACTATGGCTGTGCAAGGTTAGGCATACAAAATGAGCCTCCAAGTGTTCTGACAATAGGACAAGACTCAAGTCCTCCACCGAGGTAGGGAGTGTTTATTCTCTGATGTGTCCTAGTATTCCAAGAATTTAGTCTCCCTCTGGGACCCTGCTTCAGAAGGGAATTTAATCCAGGCTTCCCTTTGGAAAGTGGGCAGTCGCCTCAACACCTTTCAGGATACCTTAGAATGCCTTTGTGGTTACTTCCTGACACGACTGAGAAGCTCTGCCACCTCTCAGACATAAACTGAAAACATTAAAAGTTTCAACCCTGGGGCTGGAGAGATGGCTCCACAGCTAAGAGCACTGCCTGATCCTGCAGAAGACCTGGGTTCGCTTTTCAGCACTCATGGTGGCTAACAACCATCAGTACCTCGAGTTCCAAGGCATCCGACGCCCTCTTCTGGTCTCACCTGGCGCTGCAGGAACTGGTGCACTTACATGCAGGCAAATCACTCATTCACATAAAAATGAATTTTAAAGAATTAAAGTATGAACCCTGATGAAGAGTTTATAATGTTACATAAATATTGTAACCTAAAAATTGAAGTACATAAAGAGTACATGAAAAACTATCACAAACATGGATCTTTAAATGTCTATATTCTTCAGCCCTAAATTCTACCTAGAGTAACATATGAAGAAAACCTGAAGTATGGGAGAATCGCTATTACAGAAGCAATCAAAGCTGCAGGCGTGGTGACATAAGCTTTAATCCAAGTACTCTAGAGATTGAGGCTGGCCTGGTCTACATAGTGAGTTCTAAGCCAACTGGGGCTACACAGAGAGACCCTGTCTCAAAAAACAAAAACAGTTAAGTATTTACAACCATGGGACAACTAGGATCAGCTGAAAAGTACTGTGTGATTATTTTAAATTATGTATTTTAATAAATTACATGTTTAGTAATATAGAGTATTTTTGTTATGTATTGTCAGGAAAATGCAGGATGCACAACAGTATGTATATACTCCCAAATCCCAGCACTGGGAGACAGAGGCAGGAAGATCAGGAGTTCAAGGCCAGGCTCAGCTACGTAATGAGTTCAGGGCCAGCCTGGGCTTCATGAAACTTCAAACAAAAAAGGTTAGGAAGATGCTCAATGGATAAAGTGTTTACAGTTCAAGCATGAGGACTGAGTTTGGATCCCCAGGACTGATAGAAAGCCAGAAAGGGCATGGTGGCCACCTGTAGTTCCAGCACTACACAGAGGGATCTGTGGGGCAAGCTGACCAGCTAGACTAGCTGGAATTGGTGAGGTCCAAGTTTAGTGAGAGACCCTGCCTCAATAAATAAAGTATAGGGGTGGGGAGATTGCTCAGCAGTTAAGATCACTGACTGCTCTTGCAGAGGACCTGAGTTCAATTCCTGGGACCCACATGGCTACTAACAACAGTCACTAAAACCAGTTCCAGGGGCATCTGACACCCTCTTCTGACCCCTGCAGGCATTGTACTTACACGCATACAGGCAATACACTCATACACATAAAAACAGAAAATAATAAAGTGGAGAGTGACTTAAGAAGATAGCCTAGGCTTGATGAGACAAAGCAAAACAAGAACATTATGACTCTACATACGTATATAATTTTATACATGGAGATAAGCCCAGCTATACGCCAAGGTTTAGTAGTGGCCATCCTTAGACTTAAAGATGCTGTCTTCAATCACTGCTAATCCTAACTTGTAAAGACCATCATGCTAAAAGGTGCTATGCTAAGGATCAACAGAGATCAATAGCATGGCTGTAAGATGAAAGAAACAAGACACAGAGAAGTGTTCAAGTGCTGTTCTGTGCTATTAGAGCAGAAAATTTAGGAATCACTTTGCAGTAGGCTGATTTTCAACATGTAAGCCACAAGAGTTTAGGGGAGCCAGTGTGCCATAACCTACAAAACAATCACTATCTCTTTCTGTACCCCAACACAACTGAAGCCAAGAACATATCCTTTACTATAGGATAGGACTTTTCTGGACACAGTGACTGGCTTTCATTATCTTGTCTCCTTCCTAGTACCCTGAAGAGAAGAAAGAAGCTACACAGGAGTTACTGGTTCCACTGGCTTCTATGTAGACATCGGGCAGTATTCCTGGGCCACTAGGACACTCCTTTGTTTTCCCAGTGCAGGGATGATTGACAGGACCTGAACACAAAATCAGATCCTGCCCAATGGCTGATTGCATTCATTCATTCAGTCAGTCGGTCAGTCACACCTTATTTGAATGACAGCTACATGCTAGACTTGCTTTTCAAGGGTTGGGCATCCAAACACTGGACCCCTTGTTGCTTCCTTATCCCATTCAAAGACCTAGTCTGTCCAGTCCCTAACTTTGGAAGTGTACAAACCCTAATTGATTATAATAGTTGACAATAGGGAGCCTGGAGAGATGGCTCAACAGTTAAAAGCGCTGGCTGCTCTTGCAGAGGACCCGGATTCCATTCCCAGCACCCACATGGTGGCTAACAACCATCTGTAACTCCAGTTCCAGGGGATCCAACACCCTCTTCTGACCTCTGTGGGCATTGCACAACACGGATACACTTATATTCATACAGGCAATATACTCATACACATAAAAATAATAAAATATTTTTTAAGTTGGCAATAACTGTCATTGCCACCAAGGCGGGGAAAAGATCATCATCTCTGCCTCCTGCTGTTGTCACTTTCTCTCCACCCCCAATATATAATTACAACAGATTACGTACTCTCATAATTCCAGAAGGAGAGATTCTGAGGGTCTCCATATGCCTGTTTCTGGTCTCCGTGGAGATTAAATCTATCAAATTATTTTTATGTCCTGGCCTTCTTTGCCTATTGTGTTCACTTAAAGACATGAATTGGGCAATGAATTGTGTCCTTGACATATATTCTAGGCCACAAAAGACATTTCTAAATCCCTAACAGAGGCCCCTGAACTTACGGAGCCCCCTGTGTAGTAGTATCCCCTAAGCCAGTTCTGGTCTTTGCCAAGTTTGAAGAGCACAACAGAAAACAGGAGTTCAACAATCAATCTCTTCCCTTCTCTTTCTGAGTTGAAAAGATAAACACCCTCAAATGCCACTTTGTAAAGAACAGCTAGACAAGTTGCACTTTAGCAATTTAAATTCATAGATTAAAGAAAAGGACTTACATGGCGAACTTTAAAGAGAGAAATCTGAGTAGATCCAAGAGGGAAGTAACAGCTACTTGACAAATCTCTACGCATGTCTAGCAGTTGAAGACAAATTAATTGCATCAGTTTGAAGAAGCACATGTCACCATTGTCAGATGACACAATAGCTAGGAAACATGTGCTAAAGGCCTTGCAAAACACACTGGCTGCATGGAAGAATGCTGTGAGTGGTTTCATTCTGTGACCAGGGAGGTTGGAGAGAGGCTCTGGCAGAACATTACTGTGGGCCACTTTTTGGTAGAACCCTGCGTTAGTCTGCCGGGGCCCCCATCACCTTAGACTAGGTGGTCTTACACCACAGAAGTATATTCCTCCTAATTCTGGCTGCTGGAAGTTAGAAGTCAAAGTGTTGCTAGGGACAGTTGTTCTGAGGCTTACAGTTGGATACCTTCCCCTGTGTCTTCATGTGCTCTTGCCTCTGTGTGAGCCTGTGTCCTAATCTCTCCTTTTTATGAGGGCACCAATCAGATTGGATTAGGGCCATTCTAATTCCTTCATTTTGCCTTACTTCCCTCCTTAAAGAATCTCCAAATACAACCACATTACAGGGCTGGGGAGCGAAGGGTTGGGTGGTACTGGTACATAGGGACTTCAATGTTTTTATTGAGGGAGGAGCACAACTCAGTCCCATTAACACAGGCCATTGCTCTGAGTCTCTGTTTCCCCTTCCAGGGTCCCTCCAGGCTTAGCTCCTGGAATGAGAGCCTCCTCTCCCCTATCTGAGGCTACGGGTGTTTCACATGTCTGTGGGCAGGTCTTGCTTCATATGTCCTACAGCGTAGGC